CAGGAAAGAAAGGGCAGGAGAAAATTTTGTAATTATAAATTCATCTCAAAAAATAGAAGAAACAATTCTTGTAAAACTGCTAAGTATGTAATAATCTTAGCAATTAGAGAAATGCAAGCTCAAACTCTTTTGAGATTTCATTTTTCCCCATTAGAATACTTATGGTTAATAAAGCAAATGCTGATAAATGCTAAGGAATATGTGAAAAGAGGAGAATCTTCATTAATTGTTGATCTGTTCACAATCTGGTACAGACACTGGAAATCAATGCAGAGGATTGTCAAAAATCTAAACTGCATCTTCCGTATCATCTAGCTACACCACCCTTTGACATGTGCCAAAAGAACTCAATGTCCTCCCCAACAAACACTTGTTCAGCTATGATTACTCACATTCTATTCACAATAGCTAGGAAATAGAAACATCTAAAATGTCCTTATGAGTGGATAATAAAAACGTGATACATATGAGAAAGGGATTTGAGTAATTTGTAAATCAAAATGAAACCTTAAAATTTGAAGGTAGATGGTTAGAATGAGTCAAAAATGAACATGAGTGAGGTAACCCAGACCTAGGGGGACAAACACTGTATGTTCTCTCTTAACTGTGCTTCCTAGCTATGCTTCTTTACATGTGAGTATATAACACAGTTAAACCACAGTAACAAGGAAAGTAAACAGTCTATTGTGGGTGGAGAAAGGAATCCTAGAGAGGGTAATAGTAGGACACAGACAATAGGAAGGGAAAAATGAGACAAATGGGAGAGTAACAAGGAAAATGGAAGGAAAGCAAGGGTGATGAGAATGAAGGAAGTGTTGAAGGATAAATAACATTAAGGATACTTGAAAAAGTATGAGAGGTACATGCTATTATAACTTTCTTCTTAAAATACATAGAAAATATACAATTTTACATACACACATATACATCCCTATGTTAAATAAAAAACATACACAATCTACACACACATATAATTTAAATGAAGTTATACCATTGAAGATGATAATGTTTCCCCCATACAGCCATAAAACATCTAACAAAACCTCAGTTTTAAGCATGGGGACCTTCTCTTTGAAGAACTGAATTACATCACCCAAGGGAAGGAGAGAATGGACTCCCATATGTTGCCCTCTGACCTCTACACATCTACTGTGTTGGGTATCCCCAAAGCACCACACAAAACTAAAATAAAGTTAAAATAAAATAAATAACAAGCACCATGTGTAATGGAAAGAAACTATTGTTGACTAAAGACAATATCAATATCACCTATGAAATATTATTGAGTAAAAATATTTTTAACTTGAAATATCAGATTACACACATTCTAATTAACAATCATTCTGTGAATTTGTTTATCCAGTACTATTCCTAAGTTACATTTAACCTGCCAAATGACTAAATAAGTTTAAATAAAAAAATCATAACACAATTTATGGCATTAGAGTCATCAATTTAAAAATGTACGTTATTTGACCTAAAGGAGAGCTATGTCATATATTTTACATCACTTCTCAAACACTAAATTCTGTATTAGATTATGGTAGAGGTTTGATATTTATTGATCCTAATACAAACACACTAGCATACTACTGATGCAGGACTGGGAACTTAGGAGATACAATGAAATACCTGAAATTCCTTAGAAATTAATGTATGAATTTATTTTAAAAATATAATAAAAACTACAAGTATGTAAAGAAGAGATAGAAAAAGTAATGAAGGAGAGGTGTTTTGGCATTTATTAAACTTTTCACCTAAATGGAGAAAAAGGCTTTGCTATGAAAATAATGCTCACATTTGATTTTTATTTGTGATTTGATGTAAAAACCAGTGACTGCTGCTTATATCACTAATGGGGAAAAGCAGAAGCTTAAACATTGTTAAATGTTGTTAATAAATTACATAATCTATTAAATCCTTTAATCTCTAATCTTCTATGAATATGAGTTGTCAGTTATTAATTGATTAGTTTTTGTAAGAATATAGCAAGAAAAGAATACTTTATTGGCTTTCCCTATGGTTGTTGACACACCCTGAAATTAATTGAGTGTCTTATAGACAGACCTCAGGATAAGTCTTGGTACAGAGACAGGACACTGCAGCTCTCCCACCAGTGTTAAGTATTTTAATAAAAAATTTTATTTTTCTCCTTTATACATATTCTAATTTAAAATTACTTGAACTATGAGTGAACATATTCATGAGATACTGTGAGTATAAAATTATTCACAAAAAACATGCACAAAGCTTTGTTCTTTTATATTCAGAAGAAAGAATATGAATGGCAACTTAATATTGCTGCATGACATTTTGGATAATCAACACTGAATTTACAAGTTCATAAGAAAAAAATCACTCTACTCCACAGACCTTCATGATACTACATAATAGACTGATTTTAAATGTAGTGTAGTGATTAGTCTCAGCAAGTAGAGATTGCTGTGTATAATTAGTTTTAGTTACTTAGAAAAAATATTATCTATAGTGATTGATGATACTCCAGCTATGAATGTGAGAGTCAATAATTAAATTAAATTACTTTCAAAGCATGAGAAGAGGTTATGCCATTTTAGAAGCTTAAAATGTCCTTATCTAAACAACTCTCAGCTATATTTGACTGTCAAATTTTGTCTTGTTCCCTCTAATGTACTTACATCCAATTTCTGTAATTCAGTAATTAGTTGTGAAACTTCAAATATAATATATTTGCTATTTTACACAAACATTTGTGCTATACTATCTTCAAACAATTCTTCACTGGGGATGTTTTTAAAAATGTGTCCTATTGTAAACAGTGACTTTACCTTTGTCCTCTGAGACTGGGATGGTTACCTTTAAAACACATATTTATTTCTTTGTTTGGGTGGGTGGGTGGGTGGGTGGGTGGGTGGTTGATGGGTTGTTTGCTTTTTAGCTGTAACTCTGTGTATGTGTGCACATATATGTACAAATACTCACAGAGACCAAGAGAGGATGTCAGTTCCCCAGAAGATATGCTTACTGGAACAAAAGTTTCTTTTATTTCACATTCCTTGGTTGCCCCCTTGGGCTGTTAACTCTGGGAAATTTTTGTTTTTAATTTTTTTGTTGGTTCATTCGAGTTTGGGTGTAGGAGGGTCCTTCTTTCTATATGTTGCTTTCATTGGTTGAATAAAGAAAACTGCCTTGGCCTTTGATAGGGCAGTCATTAGGTGGGCAGAGAATACAGAAGTTAATGCTAGGAGAAAGAAAGCAGAGTCAGGCAGATGCCATGGCTCTTCTCTCCTAGAGGGTTGCTGGTTACACTCATACCGGTAAGCCACAGTTAAGTGACAATACAGATTATTAGAAATGGGTTGAATCAATATGTGACTTAGCCAATACAAAGCTAGAACTAATGGGCCAGGCAGTGTTTAAATGAATACAGTTTCTGTGTAATTATTTCAGGTAAAGCTAGCAGGGAGCCTGGTGGTGGGAAGTGGACCACCACTCCTTCTTTTACAATAGAGTTTTGTTTCATTTTCTGTTGATTCAGTGTCCTAGGACCTTTGTCTCTGTTTTTGTTCACTAATGGTCATTCAGATACCACAGGTAAAATTATTTATTTAAGTTGCTAAACATTAAAAGTCTCACTTCACAACACAATTGTACCCTTACATATATAAGAATATTTTAAAAGTCTTATTTTCTCAAATTTCAGTAGTGTTTGGGGCATCTGTCTTTCATTTATCCACTTATCTTGACTGCAACCTACTTGAGGGCAGTAATCCTCACTTTTTGAATCCAGGTATTTCAGCTCTTACTTTACGTTTCACAGCAAATTATCAATGGTTATAAGAAAGCTCTACTCACCCATGGTTAACGTACATTCTTTTTTATAGTAAGGAGGCCATTTGTTCGTCCTGACCACCCAGAACCAAGATAATCACACTGAGACTATAACAATTAAATCACTGCTTGGCCCATTAGCTTTAGCCTCTTAATGACTAACTCTTACATATTAATTTAACCATCTCCATTAATCTGTGTATTACCACATGGCTATGGTTTACAGTGTAAAGTTCCCAGCATCTGTCTCCAGCAGGCTACATGGCTTTTCTCTGACTCCACATCCTCTCTCCCAATATTCAGCTTAGTTTTTCCTGCCTAGCTCTGATCGTCTATAGTTCTTCTAATAGGCCTAAAGCAGTTCCTTTACTTATCAACGGTGTTCAGGGTAATCCAACAATACCTTTCTATGATTTTTCCCTCAAATATCTTCTTAGTATAGTTATCTAAATTTTATATATGCCATAAGACATTCATTTTTCTGAAGAGCAATCTACTTACTACCCATGATGTACTTTTAGGGCAATGTCATTGACTCCAACATTTCAAAAACAAGAGGAAGACATGATAGTTGGATTCCTGAACTAACATGGTACTTTTATCAAGTTTCCTTTAAATAGGCCTCTCTTCTGCTTCTTCCTTTCAGTGAATGCTGTTGACTCATTCTTAATGTTTCTTCCCCTGGCAGATACAATGAAACTTTCCATGATCAATTAGCTGAGTCTCATCATGGAATTATTTTTCCTCTTATAAAAATATATTGAAATGACAGCCTACTTTTGTTTCTTACTTTAATAACCCCTAATAAACTTTGTGAATTCATCAACTATATTTATTTTTTATAAATTGTTCTGACAGAAGAATAAGCATCATTAAACTTCAAAGTGTATGTCTAACCAGAAGCCCTACAAAAATCTAATTTGTGATTATGTTTCCAGTTATTTAGCTTAATACATGACAATAATTAAGTTTTATATTAGATTATAGATACAATCATTCATCATTAAATAATGGGATAATCAGTTAGGTGATTTCTACATTGTGCAAATATCATAAGTGCATCTTAATCACTCAATGAAACTTCTTGATCAAATCAAGAGCTAAATTTCACTGAGTGATTAAGATGTACCATTTCATTTTTATAAGTAAACTTACTATATATAATGATGTGCTGTAATTGTCTGTGATAGGCAGTATAGAAGGTCTGTTTCAACTGGCTTCACCACAAACACATGAATAATCTACTGTACTGATAGCTGTTATGGCTGCTCCATCCCCAGAAAATAACTCTTCAGTTCTATTACAGTAAGTATATGGTCTGTTGCTGATGAGGTATCATTGTATGGGGGTATGTACTTACATGTTATATAATTTTGTGTAATATGCATTACAGTATGTAGTAAGAGCTATCACATTACATCTTAAATATCAAACATGAAATATCAAATACCTCAAATTATATAATCTAAATTTGACATATTATCAATTAAATCTGAGATAATGTAATAGCAGGAAAACTTTACGTTGCTGATTTGCCGCAACAGTTTTCAAAATTCTAATTTTTTCTTTCAAAAATTTAAATACCCTGATTTGCTTAACCATTGTCTATATTTATATTCTAAGTTTTTTAACTCTTCATTCTTAGAACTTGACTCTTCTATTAAACACGTTAAATGAACAGATACAATCTTATTCTATAATCCAATTTTTATAATATATGCTCTTTTTCTCAGTAAACTCATCCATAACTGATGATTTCATGCCTCCCTTAGAAAACAGCCTGTAAATATAGAGTTCCAGTGTGATTCATATATCATACCAATTGCAAAGTCAGTATTTTCATGAATAAGTGACTCAGATCAAACACTTTCTGGCATGCCTTGAAAGACATTTATATTGTCTACATTAATATCACTATTCATTCAAACTAAACTCTATCATCTGTGACTGTATGGCTATAGATTCTTTTCTTTCCATTTTAGTCATACCTTCTGTTCTCCACTTGCTTCTCCCTACTACAAAAGAATAGCAATTTTACAATAGTATTAGTTTGAGATGATCTTTAAAACCTCTTCAATGAATTTTTATTTCCTTTAGGGCAAGAAGATAAAATCCCTCATTTGACAAACCAGTCCTGCTTCATGTTGCTTCAGCTGACTGAGCATATCTGATACAATGTTTATAATGTGCAACCATTTGCTCTGGGTTCAAATCAAAATGTTGCCCTGTATTATCTTGTGAACTGCTTCAGCTATTGTGTACTCTGGACCTTAGTCTCTAAATAAATTATGAGTAGTTACTAATTTCCATATTACTTAAAATATGTACATGGTAATTAATAGAAAACAGACAATAAATACATAAATTTGTTGGTTTTTATTACTTTTTCATAGTTATTACATTATAGTTGTGCTTATATTTTCCATAAGATAGCCATACCATTGCTTGTTTTTATTGTTGTTGACACACTGAACTTGAGTGCTTCCTCTGTCTGGAATACTTTGCCTGTACTCAGATTCAATTATTCTTGACATAAGTTCTTCTATCTCATCCTTCAAGTTTCAATTTTATGAACCTTTTCTAAAACATTAAGTTATTCTAATACTTGAAAGTAATTTCTGCTTTCATTCAAGGGTCATGCACCCTTTTAAAATATACATTTTCAATTGAACAGATATTTTTGCTAATTTTATCATTGCTCTGGAAATGTGAAATGGGTATTATAATTATTTTCTCACTGATTTCTTGAAAATTATTTAAAGTGCTTCACGTAGTCATATCAGGAGAATTATGCTGTCATTTCTGGGGATATTTTTTTCTGTTTTAAAAGTGCTTATTTAAATTTTCTTCATGAAATAAAACTTTATTTGCTCTTTCCTCTTCCCCAACTCTGCCCAGATCTCCCCACGCCTACCCAACATCATATTCTCCCTCTCTTTGTAAAACACAAACAAGAAAACCAACAAAACCCCAAAAATAATCACAATAAATATGGCATGTACTTTATGTCACAGAAACAGTTTGAAATGGAATGATAAAAAGATTTTTGATTTTCCTAAGGGAATACACCTACCTGTGCCAGAATTTGCTCTTATTTGTTCTGTTAGTGTTATCTTATATGTTTCAAATTACAACAAAACGAAACAAAAAGATAATACTGTTGTTCTTGGTTTCATTAATAGACTACCAGACAATGATATATCTCCTTTGGAATTACTAAATATTTTTAATTTAATCTCTATAAAATTCTTTAGTACCAAAAAAAAAATTGTTGCTACAGTTTGAATCTTAAGTATCCCCCATGTAGTCCATTTTAATGACTTGGTGTTCATTGAAGTACCATCAGGGTCTGGAAGACCCATAAGGATTCTGGTCTAATAAAAAGTCTTTAGGCTGAGAGAGAATGAAGCATATAAAACAGAAAAAAAGAAGTCTTTTGGTAACCGGAGCATGCCCTCCAAGACAAGTAAAGTGAATTTCTCTGCTCTCCTTAGGTATAAGAATGTTTCAGTTCCTATAAATGCTACAACCAGCAGAGAAACAAACTGCAAGAGGCAAGAATAAAACTTGTCTCAACACAAATTAGCTGGGCTGATTCAAACTTCGGGAGTCTAACACTATGCTAGTTTGTTTTAGATATATTTATGTATAGTACAATTTTGCTGGACCAGGTTGGGCATGGGATAATATTGCATGGGATAATAGGTAGATCAGTATGAGTTTATTCACACTTGTCAACTGCTTTTATACACAATAAAGTACTAAACAGCAGCAAAAAAAAAATAATGGCATCTTGAAATTTGCAGGTAACTAAATGGATCTAGAAAAAAAAAACATATTGAGTGAGGTAACCCAGACCCATAAAGACAAATGTAATGTACTCCCTCATCAGAAGCTTCTAGAAAGAATGCGCAGAAAACCCAACCTACAGTCCAGAACCCCAGACAACCTAGACAACAAAAAGGACCCTAAGAGAGGCATACATGGATCTATATAGGAAAGAGAAAAAGACAAGTTCTTATGAGAAAATTGGGAGTATGGAGGTCATCGGAGATAAAAGAAGGGGAGGGGAAGGAATGAAGGGTAGCGGAGAAAAATGTATAGGTCAATAAAATTATTAAAAGAAAGGAAGAAAGAGCAAAATAAAAAAAATATTATGGACAGCTTATGTTGGAGAGGATGTGCTGGTGGAAGTGCAAACTTTAACCGTCACTTTAGAAATCAGCATGGTGATTTCTCAGAAACATGAGAATCAATCTACCTCAAGACCCAGCAATATCACTCTTTGGCAAATTCTTATAGGATGCACGCTTATACTATAAGAACATTTTCTCAACTATGTTAATAGCGGTATTATTTGTAATAGCCAGAACCTGGAAATAAACTAAAATCCCCTCAACTGAAGAATGGATGAAGAAAATGTGATATATTTATACAATGGAGTATTACTCAGCTGTAAAAATGAATGACATCATAAACGTTGCAGGCAAATAGATGGAACTTGGAAAAAAACATTTTGAATGAAGTAACCCATACTCAAGAAGACAAACACAGTATATACTCACTCATAAGTGGATATTTGGTGTAATGCATAGAATAACATGTCTAAAAACCGCAGTTTCAGAGAAGTTAGGTAACAAGGAGGACCTAAGAGGGATGCATGGAAGGGGATTTAGATGAGATCTCCTGGGTAAACTGGAGATGAAGGGGGTCGGAAAGGGGAAGGGGATGGGAGATAACATAAGAGAACCGGATGTTTGCTGGGGGAGAGGGACAGACTAGGAGAGCAATGAAAGAGAGATCCTGATAGAGAGAGCTACTATGGGATTAGCGAGAAACCTGGTGTTAGGGAAATTCCCAAGAATTTACAACAATGATTCCACCTAAGGGGCTGGAGAGATGGCTCAGTGGTTAAGAGCAGTGCTTGCTCTTCCAAAGGTACTGAGTTCAATTCCCAGCAACCACATGGTGGTTCACAGCCATTTGTAATCAGGTCTAGTGCCTTCTTCTGGCCTGCAGACATACACACTGACAGAATATTGTATACATAATAAATAAATATTTTAAAAAAATGATTCCAGCTAAGTCTCCTAGCAAAATTTTCTCTTTTAAAGATGGTTGCTACAGTTATTTATCAGGGTGAAGGACAGCTGACTAATACACTCCGGTTATAACCTTACTAGCCATTTTGTATACTGAATAATGAAACTCTTCTTATAAAACGTAATTACATCAATTTATTAATGCAAACCTTTAGTTTATATTAACTTAAACAAGATTAAAATTAAGCAATAGGCTTACAAAACTAAATTGCTATCCTAGTATTTGCTACAATAGAAAAAATAGATAATCTCACAAAGTATTTTCCATAAATTTCATCATCAAATATCATGTGTTGTATGATATCAAAATTAAATAATCCTCTATATTACTATAAACTAATGCTCCAACAAAATATAAAAATAATAATTGTCTTTGTAATTTTTTATTGTCTGGACAATACTTCATGATCAAGACAAAAGTAAATGGGGGCATTGTGTTGGAGCAATAATTGTGAGCTTACATATGATCCATAAGCATGATCAGGCATAAAAAAGAAAGCCAAATGGAAATGCTGTGGGCTTTTGAAAACACAAGGTTCATTCCCAACGACACACCTCCTCTTACAAGGCAGTACCACCCTATCCTTTCCAAAGATGTCCACCAACTAGGGACCAAGAATTTGAATATATGAAACTATGGAGGCCATTTTCATACTAAACACAACACTAATGTTTTTAAACTGAAAAAAAATTACCAATTATGGAATGAAAAATGGTAAAAACAGTCTCACTTTTTCCTTAACATTTACCCATTTGTTATAAACAAAGTTTGCAGGGTTTGAAAGTCCAAGAGATCTCAGTCCTATACAAAGAACTACAGGGAAATAATTAATGCTGAGAGATTGAGAAACAGTTCTCTCCAGAGGAAAGCACACCAATTGGTTTTCAAATACCAAATGGTGAGCCAGGATTGTGCATGTTATTTCTAGGGCTGTATATGTACATAAAAATACACATATGCACACAATAATAATTAGAAAATTATTATAAGTCATGAATATTAAAGAGAGCCAGGATCAGTACATGGAAAGATTGGTGAGGAGGGAATGGGAGGAAAATAATATAATTAAACCATAATCTTTTTTATATTTATTTTTATTTATTTATTATGTATACAATATTCTTTCTGCATGTATGCCTGCAGGCCAGAAGAGGGCACCAGATCTCATTACAGATGGTTGTCAGCTACCATGTGGTTGTCAGTAATTGAACTCAGGACCTTTGGAAGAGCAGGCAATGCTCTTAACCACTGAGCCATCTCTCCAGCCCCATTAAACTATAATCTTAAAAATAAAAGAAAAATTATTTAAAAAACAAAGAATAGTTTTATGGTTTAGTGATCAAAACAGTGTTTTGAGTTTGGGGTTTGCTGATTCTTTCTCACACCCATGATAAAATGGAGATATTCCCTATATTTTAATATTCTCAATGAAACACAATGTGGCTTCCATATTCTTGAAAAGGCATGTGCATTTCATGACTCATTGTCTCTTAAAGAACAAGACACTTACCCCGTATTTTTTACGGGATAAATAAAGGATGAAGGGGTCTGAGTAGACACTAACTTTCTGTTGTTCAGAACTGGCGCTATCAGTGTCATCACCACTCTGTAAGACCAAAGAATTCTTCTAGTGACAAGTTGTGGTCTCTCATTCTTAATGTCCTATATCTAAAGGATGTGTTTCAATGAAACAAAGCTTGGAATAAGGTCTACTGATAAGGAATAATTAAGTAAGGAGTCAGAAATCAGAGAGAACAGAAAACCCTTTTATTAAACTTCCTAGTTTTTTTCTCTCCAATCAGAATTGGAAGCAATATTTTCATCCCGCGTGCTCTCAACTAGCTTCAAAACCACAATATAATTAAAAAGTTCCATAAAATCTCCAATTCAGGATGATTCTACATGATTGTACATGGTGCTGTTCTATCAGGACATTTTTGTTTTGGTTTGGTTTTTTTCAAGACAGGATTTCTCTGTAGCTTCGGAACCTGTACTGGAACTCTCTCTATAGACCAGGCTGACCTCAAATTCACAGAGATTCACCTGTCTCTGCCTCCAAAGTGATGGGATTAAAGGTGTGCACCACCGTTTTCTGGTTTCAATGGGACACATTAAAAAATGCATTTCTTTGATCATGACTTCTGACT